CCTGGCCCTTATTTTATTTTATTTTTTTTGGAGATGAAATCTTACTCTGTTGCCCAGGCTGGAGTGCAGTGGCACAATCTCGGCTCACTGCAACCTCCGCCTCCCAGGTTCAAGTGATTCTCCTGCCTCAGCCTCCTGAGTAGCTGGGATTACAAGTGTGCACCACCATGCCCAGCTATTTTTTGTATTTTTAGTAGAGACGGGGTTTCACCATGTTGGTCAGACTGGTCTCAAACTCCTGACCTCAGGTGATCCCCCAACTTCGGCAAAGAAAGTCACCCCTTGGATCCATGTTCACCCCGCAGGAGGAGGGAGAAAAGGCATCTCTGACTTCCTTTTAGATTGTCCCATGTGAGCCCTTTGGGATGAAGTCCATCCTGGGCACTAGAACAAAGGAATTGAGTGAGTTTCCTTAAATCCTTTCTGGAATCAGATGAAGAATAAATAAATGAAGAAATAAAGTGACTACAATTTTGTTCTTTTTAAAAATATCCAAATATATTATTTTAAACACATTGTAGTTTACAGAAGGTTTTTATTTTACAAGCCAATAATTTTTTAAAATGTCAGACATTGGTACATTACCGATGTTGTAGCAAGGTTTGAAGGAGGTACATATCACACATCAGCCTCTCAAGTAGCTGGGATTACAGGCACACGCCACCATGCCCGGCTATTTTTTGTATTTTTAGTAGAGACAGGGTTTCAGCATGTTGGCCAGGCTGGTCTTAAACTCTTGGCCTCACGTGATCCACCCACCTCAGCCTCCCAGAGTGCTGGGATTACAGGTGTGAGCCACCATGCCCAGCCATGGTTTTTACTTCTGAGTGTGAAAGAATTCTCTGTTTTCCAGTAAACCAATTCAAGCTTCTGCAAGTAGATAGGAAGAGGAGTCCTTAGGCATCAGTATATCCAATATGTTAAGAACAGCTCTGAAGATGAACATGATACAGTCTTTTCTTTAGAATGTAGAAGCTTTCTTACAGGGTCTGTTCTCTTCCAGGAAGAACAAAATAAGACCTGGTCTTACTCTTGCCAACCGGGATCTATCCCTAAATGAAACCAAATGGCCTCTGTTGTCTTCTAGGAGTTGGCCTTGTCCTAGCTCAAGTCCACCAGACAGATGCCCTCTGTGAAAACCATCCTGACTTGACCAGGTGTGGTGGCTCACGCCTGTAATCCCAGCACTTTGGGAGGCCGAGGTGGGCAGATCACCTGAGGTGAGGTCAGGAGTTCGAGAACAGCCTGGCCAATGAGGTGAAACCCCCGTCTCTACTAAAAATACAAAAATTAGCCGGGCATGGTGGCGGGCGCCTGTAATCCCAGATACTCAGAAGGCTGAGGCAGGAGAATCACTTGAACCCAGGAGGCGGAGGTTGCAGTGAGCCGAGATCACGCCACTGCACTCCAGCCTGGGCAACAAGAGCGAAACTCCATCTCAAAAACAAACAAACAAAAAAACAAGGTAGTTCTCTACCTAAATATAGTTTAGGTCTGAATTAACATACTGCTTGCCAAATACTTCCAATGATAATCTTATATATTCTACTATCTATACTCGCCAGTACCTCAATCTCAAAAAAAATAAGATGCTAAATTCACAAGCTTTTTTATCTTTTGGACAATAAGAAAATGAGCAAACAAAAGCATTCTTCTGATTCAGAAAAACAACTTTGTTGCTAGGAAAATTTCCTTGTTTGGTTACATATCACTTACAGTATAACAAAACATCACAGTCCAATATCTCATTAAAAAAACATTGAGCCCATCCACCACCCTATTACAAATCAGATCTCTCTTGGCAGAGAACTCCAAGATCTCAGACAAAACAACATTCTGACTTCAAAAAACAGTCCGTGATTTAGCACAACCCAGAAATCAATTTTTTTTTTTGCATTTTCAGACAGAGAAACAGTTTTATCTAGAATATTTTATAACTTAACCATTTTAATACATATCTGATTTCAGTTTTTATTTTCTTACCACGTCCATGAACACAAATGACAACTTTTTTTCTTTTGAGACAGAGTTTCCCTCTGTCACCCAGGATGGAGTGCAGTAGTGCAATCTCAGCTCATGTAACCTCCACCTCCTGGGTTCAAACGATTCTCCTACCTCAGCCTCCCGAGTAGCTGGGATTACAGGCGCCCACTACCACGCCCAGCTAATTATCATAGTTTTAGTGGAGACAGGGTTTCACCATGTTAGCCAGGCTGGTCTCAAGCTCCCGACCACAGGTGATTCACCTGCCTCGGCCTACAAAGCACTGGGATTACAAGCGTGAGGCACCGTGCCTGGCCACAAATGACAATTTCTGCCAGCAAAACTGAAACTTT